TTCTTAGCTTTTGGTACGTTCGTTTTCTTAGCTTTTGGTGCTTTCCTTTTGTCGCCTTCGTTTTCTTAGCTTTTGGTACGTTCGTTTTCTTAGCTTTTGGTGCTTTCCTTCTGTCGCCTTCGTTTTCTTAGCTTTTGGTACGTTCGTTTTCTTAGCTTTTGGTGCTTTCCTTTTGTCGCCTTCGTTTTCTTAGCTTTTGGTTCTTTCGTTTTTTTAGCTTTTGGTTCTTTAGGTTTTGTTTTATTTTTGTTTATTTTCGTTTTCTTTCGCTTTCTTTCGCAGCGAAAACGCAAAAAATATTTTATGATCAGATAAATATAGTAGGGTGTATTATCAGGAATACAGGAATACAGAATATAAGAAGTCAGAGGAAGTAAAATAGGAGGAGGCGACTGATATTTTTTTAAAAAAAATCATTCAGAGGCAATTTATATAGAATTCGCATGGTTTAGATCAGCCAATCATATAATCAGTCACGTTCACGTTAATGCAAAAACGCGTAAAAAATCGTGTATTATTGTTTTTGTTATTATAAACTTGAAAATTTATCTGAAAAATATTATGTCACAAGTTGCTCGCCAAGAATCAATATTTCATAGTCTTACTTCTGAAGCTGGTTTAAAGTTGAAAGGCATTGGAGAAGGACCACACGAATTAGGCAAGCTATTATTAAATCGTGGAGTTCAATCTTAGTAATGAGTCCACCATAGATATTTGAAATACATTTCATTTTAAAGTTTATTATAAAATTAATCGTTTTTTCTTTTTGATTACATGTTAAATAGAAATTGAACCCTCAGCTTTTCGACGCGAACTTTGTCAAAAAATTTTATCCCATCCGCAGTATCCGGATCCAATAATTAATCAATTTTTAGAAGTATTGCAAGAGCTATTTGATGAAGATCCTGTACAATTTATTGCATGTTTACAACCTCTTTCGGTGAATGGTCAATCAAGATTGTAAGCTTTATCAATATTAAAAGTATTTTTCACCCTTTATTATTATTATTTATCAATAATCAAATCAAAAATCTTTCGAAATTAATTAGCGGCTCCACGGCAGATAGTTTGATTAGAATTCTATTGGGTATCGATTTTATTCAATCGAACTTAATTGATCAATTACTGGAGAGATTACCAACATTCATTTCAGATTCTGATAATGATAATGTTGAATCTCCAATTCCCCGACTAATACTACAACAATTGAAATGGTTGGAATATACGGTTAATCCTCTTCGTTTGGTAGAAAAGATAATGGAGGTAAGAGTAAAACATAATTTGGAAATGTTGTGTCTTATTAAACAGAATTTTATTTTTTAAAATACCTCCATCTAAATTATCTTATAGATGATTCCCATCACTCCTTTAGGTATCCAAAGAGAAATTATAACAAGCTTACCTGAAATTATTAATGATTCGGAACAGAATGTAGATATATAATTATGTAATTTACGTGTCGTGATTACACGTGATAAAAATTAATTCTCAAAATCCTCCCTTAGACGGTCATCCAATCTCTGATAAAACTAATTGATCAAAACCATCAGTTAATAGTCCCAATTCTTGATGCTCTTTCCAATTTTACGGTTCAAGGAGACTATATGAATAAAGTTCGGGAAACGGTCTTTGATCGACTCGAATCAGCAGATTTGGAGGATTTGCCTCTCGTCGTCAAATTCTTGCTTCAGACAGCCACATCTGAAGATGCTAATGAAGTATGTTTTCAATTTTGTTTTCATATACTTTATAAAAGAATTAAATATTAACAATTACCTTTATAGATCGTGAGACAAATTAGAGAAAAAGTCGATTTTCGATCAATTGGAAGATTACAAAGTGAAGCCAGTCAATCGAAGCGTAATCAGAAGAAGAAAAAGGAGGATATTCCCGAATCTTTAATTCTTGATTCAATCAAAAATGGAATTCAATTTCATAAATTCGTTATGGACGCGTGGATTAAAGTCATCAACGATGTTAAAGTGCCGGTACACAATTTTTGACTTAAAGGATTTAGAATTTTGGAACATTAATTGAATTGTTTTTTTTCAATAGGCAAATCATATGATTATTGACATATTAATTTTGTTGATCATGCATTCCATTCCGGGCATTAAAAAAAAGGTTGAAAATATCTTTCGTAAAAAAATTGAAAGTGGTTTATTCACCAGAAAACTTTTGGAAGAGACGATCGCGTGTCATTACGAGGGATTGCAAGGATATTTTAATAATATTATTTCACTATCAGAAAGTCTTCTTCGATCCAGTCAACAACAAGCGACGTTAGCACGGGCAGCTTGTTCACTTTATCATAGCACATTCATAGTATTCGAAACTTATGAACAGCAAGAGATTGTAGTCTCATTAGTAACGCATGTAGGGAGTGGCTCTAATACTGAGACAGATTCTGCGTTATCAGTGCTTTCACATCTTGCTGAAGCGGACCTCGCAAAACTAAGCAGATTCGCAATTTTTGTGAAAGGTATCTTAGATTATTTGGATAATTTATCAGTGGATCAGATTAGAATATTATTCGATGTGTTAAGTAAACTAGTATATGAGGTAATGACTCAATATTTCAATGTACAAAGTACGAATCCAATTAACTAACTAAGATTGAAATTTCTGAAGGATGCTAATTATGAGGACGGTAGTAGTAGTTTGCTTTCCGAATTTTCTATTGTCATTCAGAAACAATTGTCGAATCCTAGCGAAAAATATAAACAAATTGGAGTTATTGGAACTTTAGCTTTAGTGAAAACTCTGGGCGCTAAAGAATTAAGTTCAAATGATGGTAAGCTCAAATCCTAGTTATTACGAAAAAAGTCTTTGAATTTACACGTTCTTTTAAAAAATTAATTAAAATTTGAAACGTTTTTGACAGATTCAAAAAGGAACATGAATAATCCTTTCTTAAATGTGATAAAGGAGAATCTTACAAAGATTGAACGACATTGTACAAGATCAATGGTAATTTTTATAAATGACTTACATGGTTTCCTATTTCACCTTTTAAGCTTACTTTATATTCTTAAAGGCTTGTCTTGCCTTTGCGTATGATGAGCTTGCCTATTATGTTTCTCATGACCTCTTAGATAAAGAACTTGTTGATTGGATCAATGAGAAATTGGCTTCACCATTTCAAGATTTCTTTATATTAGATGAAGAAGATGTATCAATTTATATTAAGGAATCTTATCATTTTCCACGAATTTCAATCGAGCCTTGGATGAAAATAGATGTAAGAAACAATTCTTTTTAATAATATCATTTATTTGATCTTTTAAATTAAATTGTCTTTTTAATATTTGAAAATAATTAGAGTGAATTAGTGAACAACATATATCCTTTATTATGTGAGCCTTATATATCCGCGGATGTACGTACCAACCTTGGTATAAAACGTGATTGGATAATATGCTCTTGTTCAATGTTTAAATTATGGCAAGCATGTGAAAAGGCCAGTAATAAAGGAGTATTAGAAAATATTGATGCTTTATTGGGTATGGGAATTCTCATGTACGAAAAGCAGACAGTCGACGTAAGTGCACGAATTTTTTTTCGCCTTTTAATCCTTTAATTATTTTCAGGCTATTATAATTTTATTCTTCTAGCATATGAAAAGCAATAATTATACGAAATTAATGTATGAAACTACCTGTAACACGTTATTCTACGCAATTAATTGGTGAGTCATTAAACATATAAAAAATTAAACATGTAAAAAGAGTTATTATATTGTCCGATTTTTTCTATAAAATAAATACATTTCCAATAGGTTTCGAGAGATAGTTAATGCATTTTGGGGCCAGCATGATTTCGATAATGCGATTTGTAGTAAGTTTAACGTTAGATCATTACTACTTATATCACTACTCATATCTTATAATGAAGTCTAATTAAATTTTTTTGAATCTTCCAGAGAAAGTAATAACTAGGTTACAGAATATAAATGAATTGGAGAATTTATTGAACGAGTTATTAGAAATAGCTCCAACCTTTCAGCCCTTTGGATTTGGAGTTCCTACACAAAAATCAGTTACAAAATTTAGAGCAGTTGCCGTACCAGTGAATTCTTCCCAAAGAAATCTTATTAGAGTAGGTAAGACGGCAAGGAGATCAGCTATTAGTAAAGGAAAGATATTAAGTGCTCGTAGAATTGAAGAACAAGAAGAAGAGGAACGAAGCAAATCATCTAGTGATTCTGTTTCCCAATTTACATGTGCAGCAGATTTAAGACCTTTGATGCGCGAACTGGAAATGGAAATATTTAGTATTCTAAAGTTTGGAGAGTTCAAAAAACCTCGAGATAATGATGAGGATGATGATGAGGCCAACAACGATGAGCTTAAAGATAAGGAACCTAATAAGGACTCCGATGATATAATTCGGTTACAACCCAAGGAGATTATTTACCTTCTTGAAGATCTGGATCGAAAGCTTGAGCACAAATTATCTGCCCCAATAACAAATATACCTTTTTTTGCCAAAAAGTTGAAAAAGAACGAGATTAATACAAAATCCAAGGGATTTAGCCTAATTTCGCGACAACCTGCTTTAGAGGTTGTCAATATAGTCTGTGAAAAATATTTCCAGATTCTTTTAAGTCAATTTGAATCTATTTGCGACTTATTAGACCCAGACAATGACGTCTTATTGGAGAGAGATGAGGATAATGAAGTCAAACGGTGTCTTGAATTATTACTAGAAATCATGCTTCGATTAGTTTCATGGTCTGATTTAAAAAGTCCGGATAATGTGCACACGTTACTCAATGTTTTGAATCAAATTTCTTCAAGGGGGGATTCATCATCTGAATCCACAACGTCATTGACACAACACGAAATTCTTCAAAAATCTACCAAGGACGCATTTAATTATTTACTTAAATTTTCATCAAAACTTCCAACTGCAAATTTGGCAATTTCGTTTCATAAAATACTTTGCAAGATTAACGAATTTTCGCCTGATACAAATGAATTGTCTGCTAAATCTGGAGAGATTGCGCGATATTTTGCAACCTATCAATGGCAAGACCGAAAACAAATGAAACCTGCTTCAATCGTGTATCTTATACAACAAGATATTCATTATTCAATGGATAAAATAGAGAGAATCAAATATTATGCCGATTTGGTTCTTCCCTCTCTTGAAAACCGTGAGGAGGAAGTATTACAAGCAAATCCATTATTTAGTAAGGATACTTTCCAGCATTTTTATAAGGCCTTATCTATAGAGTTGATTGAAGCTTTACGGGAGATTGAGATGAGCAAGACTACGGAGGAAATTCTGGTACAATTCACTAATATGGTTTATTGTTGGCAAAGGTTAGTTTCTTTTATAAAGAAAAATCATAAGCGGGCTATACTCTCCGTGATATTGAGATATGGTCGGGGATTTATTGACTTATTTGTTAAAAAAATGTTACCATTTATGGATGAAAGTTTCAAGTTATATCGAGAAACTATATTGGCAATTTTTAAAGACTTTCAAAGTGCAACTCGAAACATTCAAACTCTTTGTACTCATGTGAAGGTGGTTAAAGATACTGTGTTGGCTGCAATGGTTCCAGCTGTAAAGAAATCTTTAGAAATAGTAATTTATCAAGTTAAAGCTATGCTACAGCATAATGAATGTCCTCCTGAAGCATTTTTCATGGGAGCTCTTAAATTCCGTGATCTTGAAGGAAATGTAATTGATTCTAATATGCCAAAAGATGAGAATACAATAGACGAAGTAAATTCGGTGTTAAATGATGATGATGATGATGACGATGATGATGGGGACGATGATGATGTAGAACAAATGGATGATGAAGAAAAGCAAAATGAAAACGACAATGTCAGTGATAATGCGTCAATAACTTCGAAAAGATCTACTGAAAAAGATCATGATGAGAATGACAAAAAGAAAACTTCTCCTCTACAATCTTATGATGTAGAAATGGGAGATGCTTCTTCATTTGAAAAGAATGACAGTCATAAATCTGATGAAGAAATGGATAATGTATCAGTCGCAAAAGCTGATTCAATAAAATCTGATGATGAACAGTGCATAATTGACATCTTAGATGATTATAATGAGGAAAAGGAACTAGGGAGCGTTAGCAAAAGGAGTAGCAAACACGTTTTGTCTTCAGCGGAAGAAGATAATAATGTCGATGAGAATGATTCCGAAAGTACTAATAACAATAGTCGGAAAAAATCACGAGCATCAATTTCTAAATCAACACGACGACCAAGGAAAAACAGAGTTAAATAAATAAATAAATAGATGTTTCTATTACTGCTATTCATATATTCATGGTTTTCATATTTTTATTTGTGACTTTAGATAACACAGAGTAAGTCTTTCATTTATCACGTGCTATAAGTTTGTTACTCATTTAAGGGACAATACTCATTTAAGGGACAATGATTTTATGCAAATTGCATAAAACCGCATAAAAGTTTGTGAAATACTTAAAAAAATTCTTGTATAACATTTTAAAATCACGTGATTAATATATTTGTAATTACAGAATTACCATCCATTCATTCATTCAATCAATAATTTTCTTCGCGACATTATTTAACAATACCATCCTTCGTATCATTAAATTTCTTGAATAATTCATATTTTAATCATACTATCAATAATTGCTAAAGTACTATTGTTCCACGTAGAAATTAATTATCGATAACAAATTTTCATTTCAATAAATAAATGCTTTTTAATTATAAATCTTTATCAATAAATGTATATTTTAAAGAAAAAAATAAATGTATGGTTCTGTCAATTATTTTCTTTTCTGTCAATTATTATTTTTCTTTTTTAATTCATCCCTATATCTCATTATAAATATGTATATTTTCAGTCAATTATTTTTAATAAAATAAAATAAAATAAAATAAAATAAATGAAATTATTGGTCCGGATACCTTGCGCTTTGTTACACGAGACGTCCTGAGTCGATGACTTAAACAATGGTTTCTGAAACCGTTCCCTAATTATCTTAAATTTTTGTTTCTTAGTCAGGGAGTTTTTTCTTGTAAAGGATTTTTAATTCCTTAATATTTTAACATGTCGTTATTAAGACCCAGGGTTTTAGTTTTTCTACTTGTCGCTACAATCTTCCTCCTAATATTTTGGCCAACAAATTATCAACAAAATCAATGTATAGATAAAGGTTCACAAGGTTTTTTTCAAGCAAATAATAATAATTCACCAGGACCAGTTATTGATGCAATTAGAACAACGACCATAACAGATACAAAAGGAACGCAAAAAGAATATTTAAATGCTAAAGGGTATATTACATTCCTTCATATAATTCGTAAACAACATAAGACAGCGATAGAATCGTTAACACGTGTTGCGGATATAGCGGTAGCAAATGACACAGTATATTCTGTCACTTTAAAACCACAAAAACCTCCATCAGGGGACATACATGATTATATGTCATTAGGAAGATATTTTTGGCCAGATCCAACCCAACCGGACGGTTTACCTTACATACGTAAAGATGGATATGTTAACCCAGAATTTTTCACCATATTAGATTATGTCTATATGCGAAAATTATTTAGGGAAGTTCAAGATTTAGGATTTGCATATTTCTTTACCAGGAATGAAACTTATGTAGATAAAGCGATGTATCGTATTAAAGAATGGTTTTTGGATGAAGAGACCAAGATGAACCCAAATTTAAATTATGCAGGTTTTAGAAAAGGTCAAGCAATGGGATGGAGGACTGGAGTTTTGGATTTTCATCAAGTATTTAGATTGTTACAAGCCATACCACTTATGAGATATTCATATAAATGGGATCCAAGTATAGAGAAAGGGTTAAAGGCTTGGTTATCAGAGTATTACATTTGGTTTACTACATCTAAAATGGGTAGAGGGGAAGGTAAAACAAAGAATAATCATGGTACATTTTATGATGTACAAGCATTATTTTTATTGGATTACCTTGGTAGATACGAAGAGGCGAAATCTTTCATTCGAGTTTCGGTGGAAAATCGGGTAAATAATGGTATCTTACCAACTGGACAACAACCACATGAAACTGATAGACCAACTTCATGGTTTTATTCAATCTTTAATTTACAAGGTTTGTTCATGTTGGCCGAAAGAGCTGATCATTTTGATTTTGATGCTTGGAATTATGTTGGTCCTGAAGGTCAAAGTATACGTAAAGCTGTTGACTTTTTATTACCTTTTGCTTTAAATGAGGGTGAGGGTTGGCCTGTACCGAATATTAAAGGTTTTGAAGTGAACGATTATGTTAAAATTTTAGAATTATCTTATGTTATTTGGGGTGATGAAAAATATTTAAACGCCGTTGAAGAATTAAGACCAAAAGCAAAAGCTGAACAAGCTGCCGGTCTTAAATTAGCTAAATGGGAGGATAATTATCTTTGTGATTTGGCTTTATTGACAAATCGTTTACTTTGGACTTGTTTGTATTAATAGATAGATTTGGCTTTCTTTTTTTTTTATTTTATAATTTATGTAAACAATAATAAAAATTCATATGGACAATTTAAAAGATTCAAAACTTAAATCATATATATCGCTTATTGAAAGTGGTAAAGAAAAAAAAAAACAACTGATATTGTATTAAAAAAAAAAAAAATTTACCGTAATAATTTATAATAATAATATCGTCATTTAAATGTTGGTAAGCTTCGTTTTATTAGATCTCATATCAAATGGTTTCAATTCTGATGTTGTTGGGCATATGAGAGTTTTTAATAGGAAATATTTTTTATTTTTACCGTATAAATGCCTTTGAATGAATTTATTTTAAACAATACATATATTTTTTTATAAATTACAATCTAAATATTTCTATTATCTCAGTTAATTAGTGATTATCACGTTAAAATGATCGTACATACATTAAATAAATTGTCCGACAACTAAGTAGTGAAAAAAAAATTATGGATAAAAACAGGTATTTGGATATATTATATGACTTATTGAACTTCATCAACTTCAATTTCCTCGCCTTCGTCATCACTACTTTCATGAGCCGTGGTAGTTTGTCTTTCATCATCCCCATCTGCACCTTCTTCTTCAACAAAACTTGATGAACCACGTCGAAGTGTAGTACTAGGGCTTGCTATTACATTATCATGTTGTTCTGCTATACTCAAATTTAAACTAGACTCTTCACCTTCTTCCTCTTCTCTCTTAAACTTATTAACAATGTTATTAACTCCAGCAGTAGCTGCCACACTTGTTGCGGTTGTCGAAGCGGATGCAGCAAGACGTTTATTCTCTGCATCCCTTTTCATCTTTTCGTGATGCTTTAATTGTTTATTCCATAGTTTATGATACACTCCTTCTTTATGCATTAATTCCAAGTGAGATCCTATAAATTAATACGAACCGATGAGTAAATTATTGAAATTTACGCAACTAACTTTATTCATTTACCTCTTTCAACGATTTCGCCACCCTGTAATACGAGGATTTGATCGGCGTGTACAATTGTTGAAAGGCGGTGAGCTAAATTAAATATATTGAAAAAAAGTAGTAGTAATATTATTTATTTGATCAATTGGTTTGAAAGTAAAGATTTTTTTTATTTTGATTTTACCAATAATCAACGTTGTTCGATTAACAGTCATCCGACGTAATGATTTTTGTATATGCCTCTCGGTACGCGTATCAAGAGCAGACGTCGCTTCATCAAGTAACACTATTTGTGGGTTCTATATAAAATATATATATGGTTAGTCCTTTTGTTCGTTCAAATGCTTAAAATATCTCAGAAACTTATAGAATTACTTTTAGTAATGTTCTTGCAATTGCCTATATAATATTAAATTTCACCTTAGTATTTTGTCCGTTTAACGATAAAATATACAATAAATAAATAAATTATAAATGAACATACAACTCTTTGCTTCTCTCCACCGCTTAATCTCAATCCCCTTTCACCAACTTTGGTATCATAGCCTTCAGGGAAGCCTAAGATTATATCATGAATTTGAGCTGCCTCAGCAGCTTCTTCAACTTGCTTATCCGTCGCACCTATTTTACCATAACGGATATTATATCTAATCGTATCATTGAATAATACCGTATCCTATAATTATATGAAAGTTAGATATAAATATTTTTATAAATATGAAGAACAAAAATAAAATAAAAATATTTTGTTAAATAAAAAAATTTCTTACTTGAGGTACGATTCCAATACAACTTCTTAAGTCTCTTTGTCGAACGTGTCTGATATCTTGTCCGTCAACAAGAATACGACCACCTTGCACGTCGTAAAATCTAAATAAGAGACGAAGTATTGTCGATTTCCCGCCACCAGATGGACCAACTAAAGCTACAGTGGAACCACTTGGAATAGTAAAAGAAATGTTTCTAAGAGTTGGAACTCTCGGATCATAATGAAAAGATACATTGTCAAAGACAACTTCTCCTTTCTGAACATTCAAAGATTCCGCATGAGGCAAATCTTTAACTTCTGGAAGTTCTTGAAGTAAATCAAGCATCTTCTCCATATCTACAAAATTTTTCTGAATTACTCGATAATAATTTCCAAACCAATTAAGTGGCCCATATAATTGTATAATGTAGGTCAGATACATAATGAAATCTCCTACGCTCATTTCACCCCTTCTTACTCGTGAAGCACATAAGAGACAACCAGCCAAGAGTCCCAACTGTATTACAACATTTTGAGTTGTATTAAGGATATACAAAGTTACATTGGACTTTTGGTCAGCAAGTTGATAAGATCGAATCGCATCAGAGTATTGTTTAACTGAAAAAATTTTATGTTAGAACACAAATGGATACCACAAATAATTCTTATTAAATTAAAAATTTTATTACCTTCAAATGGTTCTGCGGCATATAACTTGACAGTTTCATAATTTAATAGTGAATCGACTATTATTATAATTGAATAAGTAAATTATAGGGAAATAATAATAAATACTTGTCACAATAACATAAGTAAGGATAAATATGTCACCAAGCTTGAAGGGTAAGCCAATGATAATATATAAGCTGAATCGACAACACACCTGCCTTCCCTTCCATAGCATTGTCCAACAAATTTGTTAGTCTTCTATATTTAGTTCTCCACTCTGTCATGATAATAGTAGATACTAGATATAAAGACATAGTCATAAACACGATCATTCCAAAGAAAATGTCAAAAGCATATGTAAAGTAAACCACGGCAATAGCTATGTCAACAAGCGTAGGGATGACATCAAAAAGAACCGATGAAAGGATTGATACAATTGAAGAAACACCACGGTCTATATAGAAGTATTAATATGTATTAGAAAAGGCAAATAAGAAGAAATACTACGTAACATTTATGAAA